GCGAGTGCGTGTGTGTGTGTGTGTGTGTGTGTGTGTGTGTGTGTGTGTGTGTGTGTGCGTGTGTGTGTGTGGTCAGATGGGTATTGGTCACATGTTATTTTCTGTCTTTATGTCACCTGACCCTCAATTTCAGGTGAATATAATGAAAATCTGGCCTTCGGTGAGAGAGAAAGAGAATCACATTTTCTGCTCCTGTAGCTCTTCATTTCCACATGTGCTGAAGAGAGAGAGAGAGCGACGGCTCTGATTTCACACATGCTGGTCATTAGCAAGCGGCTCTCATGGGTGTTGACGGAGCCCCGTGTTAATTGGTGGAACGAGCCCCGGTGACCCGGCGCAGGAGAAGCATGTTTGGGTAAATTACTCCATTAGAGCGGCGCTGAGGAGCGGGCGAGAGAGGTTACGATGAGACCCGGCCTGATTAGGAGAAACAGTGCCAGACCCTGCCATACGTGATCATGACGTCTCGAGGAGTTTGAGAAGATTCATAAACCAGATCAATGATTCTGTTGGGTTCTGGTACATTATTCATGCTTTACTGAACTTTTGATTGCATTAAATTAATTAAAATTACTTTACTCATTTACTCTAATGGTGTTTCAAACCTTTATTGGTCACATCTTTTAAAAGACACCTAATATTCAGTAATATTATTGATTTGACTGATCGGACGATCAGATGAAAACAAAACTTGAACTGAATTGATCGGAATAATGACTCCGAAATTTGTTTCATAATTGATGGATATTTCAAATATACAAAAAAATGGCCAAACATATTTGCTAAAATATGTTTCAAAATATATTTGTGTAAATACTGTATATTTTTTCATCCATTTTTGTATATCTTGAAATATATTTATTAAAAATTTAGCCTAAATGTAGGCTGTTGTAAGATTAGAAATGTATTTTTTTTTACCCCCTTAAATACATTTTGAAACTACTGTAAATATATTTCAAATTTCAAAAATATCTTTAATTGAGCCTCATTGTTTACAACATATATTTAGCATATGAATAGAATGTAATTTGCCCTTTTTTTGCCATATGGGCTGCTGTAGTGGAAAATTATTAATTTATTTATTTTTAGATTCATTTATTTTTCTCTCTCTGTTCATTTTAATATTTCCATGCAATTAATATTACTTTTATGTGAATCTTTGCTTCATGCTTATTTTATTATAATGTAAGTTTTATGTGTTTGCATTTAAAACTGTCTAGTTACAAATGTTCCTCTGCCGAAATTCCAAATAAAAACATTTTAACACGAGAAACAAAGCTGCTAAAGGAGCAGAAGTCCATGCAACCTTGATCTGACCTGAAGTTCTTCATTCACACACATGTAACCCTCAGAAAAACACGCAGCGAGTGTGTAGTGAGTACCGCGGTAAACGGAGACTGTCCG